AATAACTGTCTAATTTATGGAAGACTGTTGTAGTGATTGCATTCCATTGTACAGGTGTACTTAATGAAGTGGCCACTGAGTGTATGTGCCTATCAAATGTAATCAATTACATGTGCTTGAAGAGAAAGCTCCTGTTCAGTTACTACACCGTGTTGCACGTGTCAACCCACTCACATTTTGGCCCCGAATCTTACATCTATCCAGTAGAGAATCAGACTTTACATGTTTGATCCCTACATTATTATTTCAACACCAAACAACCTGCATAAAAAGATCATTCCACAATAAGCCTGTATTCTACAAATGACATTTCATAACAAAATGTTAGTGTGAGCTCCACAGCATTTGGCATCTTTCACTTTTAAAAGCCACACACTGTCCTGCAAAAGCACAAACTCTAAAATATATAAGAAAAGACAGACGTACACACGCCAGTCATCATCATGAGTTGTTACATGAAGGAAACAGTTAACAGTAAAAGTCCTGACTCATCACAGCCTGACGTACATTTAATGCTGACTGAGCGAGCAGAGAGAGAGAGAGAGAGAAAAACACACACGCACCCACTGACTGCTTAGTCTTTTGATCACCAGAACTAACTTTAAGAAATGTCTTTCCATTTAACTAAAGAAGCCAGTTGTCAAATGGTAAATCATCTCTAAACAGCCATACAAGAACTTTATTTAAAATAGAAAATAAATAATAAAATGTTGCTTTAATTCTAATGAGAATGAGTAAACAAGAAATGTGACATTCAGTGCCAGCTTTCAGAACAGTTTGATTCTCTCCATTTTTCAGCTGGAGGTCTAAACAATGGAGTCATCTTTACAAAACAGCACGATCTTGGTGGACAGACATACGAGAGGTTCCAGACAAGTTGCAAATTAGTCTGAAACCTCTCAGTTCATATTTAATTTCCAATGGGGAAATATCAACGGGCACATACCCAAAATTTGTCTGGTTCCCAGGTTAGGACAGACATTCGGGGATCCTGAAACACTGAATAATAACACTAAAAATATGGAATCACCTGTTATAGTTCACCGATATATACCCAATTAAAAAAGTAGGCAGATTTACTGAAAAGGTATGTTTAGTTTCTGACATTTCCCTTAATAGCTCAATGTGTTTGCAAGGTTGAGCTCATTGAGAACAAACCGTGTACTTCACAATTTTGAATCTATGCTGTGGAGTTTTACTTTTCTGGATTCATCTTCAGGAAGTTTCCACACAGTAGAAGTAAGTCATTGAACCAGCACTTGAAAGTTGACAATTTGCATTATTTTTTTAGGTTACATTATTGTTGGGTGATAATGCAGAGAAAGTGTAGGCTGATTAAAAAAAAAAAAAAAAAGTCTGCTCAGTTTTACCTAATGATGTTAATGTAACTTTGGCACTTTGTAAGCACTCAGCAGCATTTCCTGGGGGACACCTGGTACTGAAATGAATAGAAACCAACAGCTGATTTGTTAGAGTAAAGTAAATGAGAAATGTAGAAACATGCTAAGCCAGTGTAACCAAGAACCAAAGTTGAAGGGAATGATGTATTCTGGTGTTTTGTTTCTTTAAGGGTGTAATCTCTTGGGTCACTACTCCAGTGTCAGTACAGAAACACATTGACGTGCTGTCTGGAAAAGTGCACACCCTGCACTTTGATCTAATCAGCACAATAACAGACTTCAATAGCAACCTAAGTCTACAAACATGAGTGTATTTTCCCTTTCCCTGCAGTCAGAATTTTTTTGCTGACATTTAAAAAGTCTAAAGTCTCCAAACTGTACACCGCTGCCACATTATTTGGACTGAGGAAGCTTTCGCCATGTTATCTTGTCAAAAAGGTATGAAAAATGCCACTGCTTCTTCAAAATCCTTCTCTGTGTGCATTTTTTGTTGTCACTTTGAATAAATTATTGCAAGATTAACTCTTGATGACTAAATAAGAACACAGCTGAGGATTTTGGAGAGCTAGGAGGCAGCAACAATTCTCCTGTGGCTGCAGGGTACCGTTTGGAAAGACCTCAAAATGTGAACTAAAAATGGTTTGATGAATCCAGTACCACAAAGAAAAACAGGTTTGTAAACTTTAAGGAAAAATGTTTGGGTCGGTTTTGGCTGCATTTTCTTAATTTCCCAGGGTATGGAGTTTGTCAATCAGCAAGACCATGTTGATTACTTGAAAAAAAATATATATATATATATTTTGATAATTTATTATCAAATATTACAACATATTTTAATATTTTAAATACTAAATTTTTCCTCAATGACTTTCAACTTTATCCGTTTTTTTTTTTCTGACAGTGGCTCGAGGACACATTCTTAAAATCGCTGTTATCCATGCAAACGTGTTGATTGTTTTAAATGTGATGAGGTCTATATTACTTTAAAGAGCCAATTACTTTGATACAGCTATTAACCGTAGGCATGAGTTTCAAATTACAGATTATTTGACATGATAATCATTCAGCTGCTGGAAGTCCCCGTGGCTTTTAAACCGTAGATTCAACAGGCGGGGAGCTGCAATGAACCATCCCAAAATAGATCATTGTGGGCCATATAAATGCTGTCACACTGGAGGTCATGGTAATGCAATTTTCCCCAGTAACAGAAATGGTTGCAGTGTACTCCTCCTCCTCCTCCTCCTCCTCCTCCTCCTCCTCCCCCCTCTGTCCACCACCCCGCCCACATCAAGAACCAAGCACCCCCCCCCCCCCATATAGCTGAGGATCTGGGTCTAGCGCTTGGTATCACAGTAACAGTGGAGGAAAAATACATCCATTTTAATCAGGCCAGCGTTGCCGCCGCCGCCGCTCTTGCAGCCATCTAATTTGCGTGACGTCTTGTTCAAATAGGCTCACACAATCTCAATCTGTGTGTGCGTGCGTGCGTGCGCATTTGGGTTTGGTTTGGAGCTGACAATGAGAAGGAGGTGGTGGTAGTGGTGGGTGTATGCTGTGTGGAGAGTATGTGCACATTATAAGCACTAGTTTTATTCACTGTTTCCCCCAAAGGCCATTTTCCACGGTAGGTAGGAATTCAAGAGACTGAAATGTGTGCAGACACAAGCAGCCAAACACAGCTCACCCAGCCTCTCTGAGCCCTTCTATAATTTAGCCTACGTGCAAACTGGTGCTGAAATGATTAGTAACTGCATTAGTAAAATGATGCCAAAGTTATGTAAATATTTTATGTACCTGGGACCAGAAAGGAACCGTAACAATGTCAGCAACAAGCCCTGACCCAGGACTGTTGCACTACACACCATTGTACTACAGTTATCTCCAAAAACTAAGACATTTCAGACACAGAACAGCCCATAAAATGAGTATGGGTAATAATAAGCTCACTGAACTGTTGCCAATTTTAGCAAGCTAAAAAAAAAAAAAAGGGAAAAAGCTATGTTAGGTGAGTAAAGTAATTAAAATCAGGATTTAACCTGAACAAGAAAGGCCTCTTCAATTTAGAGCCACTACTTTTTCCACCTTTTCACTTCATGTCACAGTCCCAGTTGGCAACATGACTGACTGATATTTATATAAAAAGGCGCAACTACAATCAATCATTCTCTAGTCTATTAAATGTTAATATTTAATTTTTTTCACCAAATAACAGTCCAGACCCCAAACACATTAAATAAACCAGAGGAAAATCAGCAAATCACACTTGAGAAGCTGAAAATAACATTCTGCCTAGATCAACTGATCTATTATCAATGTAGCTGGTGCTTACATTTCAGTCATTTGACTAATCCAGAGATTATCATTTAGATTTATCATTTCTACACTAATTTCCCCTTTTTCAGTCATTATTATTATTATTATTATTATTATTATTATTATTATTATTATTATTACTGTATTGATAAACTGTTTTAGATTGTTGGTTGGACACAATGAACAGTGTGAAGATGAGCTCTGGGAACTTATAACTAACATTTCTCATCATTTTATAAAATTGTATTGACCCAGTAGTGATTAATAAAACAAAACTCATTATCACATCATGGAAATGATAACTGCTCTGCAAGTACCACCAGTTGGTAACAAACGTAACCCTGGCCTCTGCGCTCATGATCAGGCCGTCATTGGATTCACCTGCGGTCGGTAATTGGCCGCGGTCACTCCTCTCCCAGCTGCCGCTACCCTACCGGGACTGCGGTGCATCTTACCGCCCCCTGTTGCCTGTACTATCGCTCCATATCAATCCACTGTAAGCCCCTTTTTTCTTCTCCCTGCCATCCTTCTCCCTCTCTCGGCTTCCACTTCAGGAATAAAATAAATAAATTACCAACCTCGCTGGGGGTGGTGATGGCAGAGGAGAATCCCACAGTGGAAGTGAATGAGAAATCAGGACATGAATAGACGCCGACACAGTACAAGAAGCAGGGGTATATTGGTAGGGGCTGCGTGTTTTCAGGGTGAAATTAATTGACCGCAGGGCTAATTGGCCATGAATGAGAAGCGACAGTTGCTGTACAGCAGGCAACACAAACTAAGCGGGCCTCTCCATCCCCCCCCCTTTTCCCTTTCATTTCCACAAACAGACACTGAGCTAAAAACACCCAATGACTAATTTAGAAAGACGAACACGCTCCTCATAAATACATTTAAAGCACACACAGAAACAGAAAGCGTCTCCTTTTAGCCCCCAAGAGACGCCATTTAAAGGGTTTCTTAGCTAGGAAGGAGCGCAAGGTTGATTAGCCCAAGGTGTAGCCAAACACGGTCGTTCCTTCAAGGAGCAGCCAAGACAGGTGTACAGCTGGGTAATGTTAGCTAACCTCACCGTACACAGTGCGCGTTTCCCAGCGCAGCGATTCCCAACACACACACACACACACACACACACACACACACACACACACACACACACACACACACACACACACACACACACACACACACACACACACACACACACACACACACACACACACACACACACACACACACACACACACACACACACACACACACACACACACACACACTCAAGCTTACCGTGGACGTTAATGCAGTGCTGGAGACATATTAGCATCGGCAGCAGGAGGATCCCCGGTGTGGACGTGACCATCTCTGGCAGTGTACGGTTGCTAGCTGAGCGCTCGCGGGCTGCCTGTGTCTGTCGCTGCCTCGCGCCGGCCTGCTTGCTCTTTGATTTTGCCGGTTCACGCGCAAACCACACATACACACAGCTGAACCAAACACAACCGCCGCTCCTCCCGACGCTACCGACCGACCGACCGACCAACCGACCAGCAGCACGCGCTGCAGAGGAGCAGTGAGAATAAAACTGAGCGGCCGCCGCGCACGCCACGCGCCTTTTGATCTCGCTCTACAACCACGCGCCGTGGGGGCGGTTCGGGCTCCCGTTCTCTCCTCTCGAGCTGAAATCCATTTCCTAAAATTGACTGTAACGAGCGGCCCCGGTGACCGGTTTGTTAGTGGTGCTACACAGAGACCGTCACAGCTGAGAAGGATTTTTTTTCTTTTTTTCTCTCCTTCAGCACGTCTTTGGCACATTGTTAACCCTTCACCATCCGCATGGAATAATAAAGTAGATTCTATTCACACACAGACAGAGCAGCTAAAAAACAATAGCAGTAGTTATGTTTAATGACATTGTTAAGCAATTATATATGTCTTTGTGATAGATAGATAGATAGATAGATAGATAGATAGATAGACTTTTACTGGATTGGAAAACAGTTTATCAGTGATCAGAACCGTCATTGATCAACTTTCTGTTAACTTATGGATTACTCAGGGTCAGTTTCACTGTTCCTATAAAGCAGAGTTGTGACTCGTCCCTGGAAGAACTCTGTGCCAGCCCGACCCACTGAAGCAGTTTAGGGCCCGAGCCCGACCCGAACCCGAATTTGCAATTAAAATAAATAAATAATTTTACAAGCTGAAGTAACCTACATTGTGCACATTATTATCCAAACTAATAAAGCCCAACCCGGCTCTTCACCTTCAGCCACAAAGCTGGAGTTAATCAGTGCAATTACTTGGTTTGTGGATGAAAATCGGTAAACTTTCACCAACAGTGAGTTCACACTACAGCTCCACTGGGACAAAAATACTTGAGCATAAACTACTTTTTAATGACTCCGGTTTCTTTCTAAACTGAAATATTCAGGATATAAAACTGAACATAGAGGCACTTCAAAGTGAGCCTGTGTTTGCATGGGTGCTGGAAGTAGGGGTGCGGAGAGGGCTGCAGCACCCCCTAAAGTCTGACATAATGAAAACCATTAGTTCAATAAAATGTTTAAACTGACTTTACATGTGTACAATGGTATTTGTGGCAGATAGATTAAATAGGCTGTGAGTGATCCTGGCCGTTTTAATGCAAAAGTCACGAATGTGCATTTACTATTTAGTATGATGTCTTCATATATATATATATATATATACATATATATATATATATATAGGCTATATATACATATATATAGATTTCCTCTCAGCACCCCAAACTTCACTGACTTCCAGTGACCTGTATGATTGTGCTAAACAGTGATCACTGTGACCCCCAGTGGTCATTACAGGATAATGGCATATTCAATTTCCAAAACGAGGTACGTACTCAGTTGTTTGCATATGGGAAACCAGTCTTTATCTAGTCTTGTTATGTCACATTTACCTGAAGCTCATTGTTTAATATGTCAGAATGATTGGAAATGAAATGTGTGTTGGCAACTACCTACCACTTCAGAAGCAACATATGTTTAGTTTTGCTTTTAATGCCGATCATTTTGTAAGAGCCGATGTCTCATGTTTCAAAGAGTGAATCCCAAATCTTGGAACCAGCTCTTACATTTTCCTCCCTCTCTCTGTCTGATGTTATTTCTCCCCGTTTTGATCACCAGGTCTTTGGGTTTTCCAGAGGGCTGCGTGCTGCCAGGTTTCATAGGCTCTCAGAGTTCTTATCAGAGGATTGAACCTCATCTTCAGTGATGGCTGATGGCTGCTGATACACCCCAAGGCTCATTCTGTCCCAGATTTTTACATTCCCTGGAAGAAAAACCACACACACACAAACACACACACACACACACACACACACACACACACACACACACACACACACACACACACACAAACCACTGTACAATTCTGTATGAGGAAGTGTCTCTGTCTCTCTCTCAGACTGTCAGTGTCTCTTTCTTGCGGTCACTTCCAAGCGCACACTAAAACACACACACCGATTGCTGATCTACTAGCAGGAAATCCAGTCTCTTATGAAATACAGCTGTGGAAAATCATTATTTGCAGGCTCACGAGCAGGGATAATCAGCTCTGTGACTGGTGGAGAGAATTAGAGCTTTAAAGAAACAGCATTATTTTACCAAGGCAGAAAATGGTTACGATGTATTTGCAAGGGCAATGCATCAGTACAGAAAAACATTATTTATTATGTTCAGAACAAAATGTGTGTGGGTTTTGTTACAGGTAACTAGGAGACAATGGAATCCAGGCCAGGAAGTCCACTTTCACCAACAGATCCATGAGTTGGCAGTGGCGGCACTAAGGGGTGGCCAGGGGGGGACACAGCAACCCTGATACAATCGCTGCCCCTCACCCATGAGCCGAATATGCATAAAATGCTTCTGAGCAATGATGCTTCTATCTGATATTTTACACTGTTCATTTAAATCAATTATTTATATTTTTCATAATAGTTAATGTGAAAGAAAATAACAAATGGAGAGCCAGCCAGCAGATTTTGAGCATCCGTCACTGCACAAAACTTTAATGTTTAGCTTTATTGGGACGATATAGGGATATATAACAGCTGTTGGGAACTGTTGGGTGTCTGTAAATAACTTTATAAGGAGTTCTGTCTAGACCTGCTCCAAGTGGAAAGTGAGATAACTCCTGTTATGATTTTGCGCTATACAGATAAAACTGAATTAAACTGAAAAGCTGAACTTCATTTCATAAACCCACTCGAAACAAATTCATTCAGTTCACTCACATTTTCACTGTAAGTCGGTGGGGAATTGTTGAACTGTTGAACTAGCTTAAGTTTTTTTTTCTGTGCAGTGACTCCACGTTTACAGGTGCTGCAAGTCTAAGCTTTTTAACCAGCTCTAGTCACTCATTACTATTAGTGTAGGTGTTGCTACTGTTGATGCTGTGCACCTTTGTCTCTGTCTCTGTCCTTCTGTTGTTACCTCTGTTCTCTCTCTCTCTCTCTCTCTCTCTCTCTCTCTCACACCCCAACTGGAGGGGTCTGTCTGAGGTTCCTGCCTCTTAACAGGCAGTTTTTCCTTGCCGCCGTTGCCAAGTGCTTGCTCATGGTGGTACTGTTGGGTCTCTGTAAATAATGTTATAAGGAGTTCGGTCTAGACCTACTCTATTTGAAAAGTGTCCTGAGATAACTGTTATGAATTGGCGCTATACAAATAAAATTGAATTGAATTGAATTGAATAGTTTAGTCTAGTTTATTAGTTTATCTGTAAGGGACAAGTGCAGAGTAACACTGACAGCTGCAGAAGCAGTATCTGATGTACTGTACATATGTATATATAAAGCTAATATCCAATGTGTTCCCACATAAGTAAGATTTGAAGGGACACCACTATTACACACAGGTTTATGAGTACGTGTCAGATTTATTTTGCACCAACATCAACAACAGAGTGGCTTAAGCTAACCATAAAAGCACCTGGGCTGTGACCTGAGGGCAAGAATGGACTGTGGACAGAGATACCCTGGATAAAAATGCTGTCACTATGTGATGACTATCCAGTCTGGGGTGGCTGCAAGCAGACTTGATGCAAGCGTTTGAAAAGCTAATTATTTTGTGCACTGTCAAACATCTCTAATCAAACATGGCAGATAGATGTCACTGCATAGTGTTTACCGGCGCAAAACCCAAGGTGAACATTTAAGGTACCAGATGGCTCCATTTAAGCTGCTTCCCCTCACATGCATGCTAACCAGTAAATGTTGTGGCAGTTTTCCAGCATCAGCATCATGTGGGAAGAGATGTGCAAGCAATTGTGACTGTGTCATGTTGCTAACAACGTGTCTTTGTAAAAACAGTAGCCTATATTATAGATTTAAAGGTCCATTGTGTAACATTTTAGAGAATATATTGGCAGAAATGGAATATAATATTCATAGTTTTTGCAAGTTAATGTTTTTGCAAATTTCAACGTCATCAAATATGGACACGAGAGTGGTGCTCAGTTAGCTGCAATCTGCAACTTCACCACTAGATGCCACTAAATCCTTCACACTGGTCCTTTAAGGCATGACACAACTTGGAAATGTTTAATTTTAATGTAATGTTTGTCTCTGCAGAGTGGCTCACAGCAAAGAGAGAAATGTTAAGTATCCATCAGTGCAATGAAACAGCAGCTTTCACAGTTGGTTATAGGAGCAAATAAAACTAGCTACAACAACTGAGATTCAACCAGAGCAAAAGGAATAAAAAAAAAACCTGAGGGAACTCAGCTACAGATGGTTCATAAAACCAGGCCCGAGGTAGGGTTTCAGTTTTTCATTTTCTTCTCATCATGGAAAAAATATAACTCTGTATGTTTAAATCCAGCAGAGAAGTGACATTTATAAGGCGGAGAACTGCACACAGCCTACAGATATCAACACTTCCTCAGACCAAACAGCTTTATCCACATCTCACCAGGAAGCTGCGGGGAACCTCACAACTGGCTGAAAGCAGATATTTAATCATGCCCGGATCTGGGCCAGGTTTCTGAAGATGTTTGTAGCCGATGGGGGAGCGTCGTTATCTCTCTGTGAAGGAGAGCTGCTAGTCCACTCTCTTTAGGATCTTTATTTTCTCTGCGTAGCCCTCAGAGAAGGCAGCAGAGAGGGGAGAGGAGGTTCTGCTTTGATTTAATACCACACCAGAATGATTCATCTCTTTCAAAATGAGCTCTAAAGTTGTGAGAAACGATTACAGTGATTGGTATCACAGCAGTGAAATACATAAAAGTAATATATTTCATTTGAAAAATTGAGAAAGTCAGTGCAAACGTGTCACCCCTTGAAGCATCCTCCTTCTGTGCTGACTGAAACCAGATGGAAGGTGTGGCTGGTTTATGAAATTTAAAATTGCCCATTTATTTTCAATAGAAATGACATCTATCACTAATTTATAGCTGTGAAGATATCCATGAAGATGAATGAATGGGTGGGTGTATCACAATAAGCCCGTTAATCCAGTCATTCATTTTATTACACTGATCTATGTGCTCTCATTGGACCGTAAGTGCTGTTCAGCACCACAGACAGCGACACTCAAAGCTGGTTACTCTCATCTGGAAATCTGGTCAACTTCCCATATTGTTGTTGACACTTATACAACACACAGTATTTACTCTGACTACTCCGTAAAGGAGCATTTGGCATTAGCAGGTATAAGTCTCCCTTGATAGAGCTCTCTTATAGCACTGGTGTGGACTGTTTGGACCACACATGCATTTGATCGAGCAGTTAGTCCTCATCCTTTAAAGCAACATCTACTGTTATTCTACCTTAAAATAACAGCTTCACTGTCATTCTTGTAACAGGGTGAATGGTGCCTCTCTATTTCCCACTCTGTGTCCCGTACGCGTGTTCGTGCACCACTATGTGACTATGCAACTGGGGGTGCCAAATCCCACAAATCCGAATCTTACATAATGTTGTTTAAACCTTTTTCTTCCTTCTGAAACTGAAACACACTGTTTGAAACACTTCTGATAACGCATACATTTCAAGTTTTTGTGGTTTATACAAATTTTTTTATGAATTGGGAAAAGGGCTCATTGCTGCTGCCCCCTCATGGCCGACACAGCCACTACAACTGTAGTTCTCACCAACCACTGTTGCGCTGGTTGTTTTCTGTCGCCCAGCCACAGGGAACAGTGATGATAATGCAATATGTATGTTCCTCTGTTGTCCCTGACATGCTGTTAGAAGCAGAGACTGAAATCTTAATGAAGCTCCAACATCTCACATGTGGGAATTGGCTGCTGAACAGCAAACATTTGAATGCAGGAAGTGACCCAAATATTTCAAATGAACCCGTTTACAGAATCTATGGTAATGTTTTGGTTTTTAGGGTTTGAGTTTTATGGCAACAAAGTCATAAAATGAAACTCAATCAATTCAGTGCTAAAACAAAATTAACAAACCAGTTGTTTAAATCATTGAGAGTGAATGAAAAATGTTCAGTATTTCCTGAGAGAGATTTTATAGACTAAATCAGTCCTTCATTCATAAAAATGTGCTGAATAATAGTGAAATAATAATCTATGTAGCTATTATCTTTACATTGGGTTACTAGGGGTAGGACAATACTCGTGAAGCTGAAAGTTTAGAAAAAGAAAGAAGATAAAACAACAGGAAGCTTGAAGTAATACTTTATACAATTCAACATATTTCTCAACATATATTTCTGTAGAAAACAATATATTTACATTTTTATAGACAGTTTTGTTTTTACAGTACATACAGCATTTACATATAAATAGAGAGCAATTTACAGCATTAAAGTCAGTGCTGTAAAATCTGTATTGGCACTTGAGAACAAAAACACATCTGATTTCTTCATATTCAGTCTGACATTTTGCACCAGTTATGGTCAGGTTTTAGCTCTTGTTAATAAGTGAGTTTTTTCTATCCTCCATTACATTAAAGCAGTGGTTTCCAACCTGGGGGTCGGGGCCCCCATTAGGGGTCGCCAAAGCTTCATGGAGGAGTTGCGAAGCCTTCTTGATTTTAAGGCGTGCTAGGCAAAAAAGAAGCCAAGTAAGTCTGTATGATTGTTAAAAATTATTTAAAAAAATACGTAATACAGAAGGAGAATTGTATGAAATGTTCCACAAACAAAATATATGTCACTTAGTCAGGGCTCGTCAGTATACTAAATGATAGAAAAGGGATCCCTAAAGGAAAAAGGTTGGGAACCACTGCATTAGAGTACAACATTTTCAAGACCGAAACCTGATGAAGAGCCAATTTGAGCTGGATTTGTTGTACTTTCTCTAATTAAAGGAGCGTTCTACAGTGCTGCGTGAGTTTTGCACACTAAATAAGTGAGATGTTGCCTGTTCATTACACAGATAACAGAGGTACAAAATCTGGACAGGACCATGTAGGTTTGTGAAACACTGCTGCCCTCTCACTAATGACTTGAGGTTTATGCGTCTTTTTGTGTTGTTTGCTCCGGACACTGGCAACATTTGAATGGACCTGGATCACAATATGAGAATACAGAAGACAACGGCTATGTGCCAGTACCCACACTATTGGTCTCCAACACCACCAGGTTGTAGACAAGTGTGTGAGAAATGTCAACACGTACTTCACTTAACCCACAACTATTCTAGTATGGCTTCAGAGGAGCATTCAGAGGTAAGCGTATCCCACAATTCACCACGGTCTCACACCAGTCCAGTAGGTAGTAACACAGCCACACATAAGTTAGTTTTAGGACTGACAGTAATAAACAGACATAAAAAAGCTGAACCTGTTTGATTCAGCCTGAATATTAAACAATATGCAGAGAAATTCTTTCCTAAATACAAACCATGAACCAATAAACCAAATATAACAGCTTATGTCTGTTTTAGATATAGTGGGTCGAGGTGCTTCTGCAGTAGAACTGGATTTCTGAATGTAACTAACGCTGTAAGGTTGGACCCACCTTATGGGGCCATTATTGTCGCAAAACTATTTACAAATGTGAGTGGAGAGTTGTGTGTCTGTGTCTCAATCTGTTTGTGTAATCAGATTTGTAAATGTGGAAAAAAAATCCATCTCCGATTGTGTTGACTTTTGCATGTGAAGACAAATCCATAAATGTGTATTTAAATCTGTAAATGTGTAGACACACAATACAGTTACACAACTCTACTTCTACTACTCACATTTGTAAATAGTTTTGCTACAGTAATGGCCCCATACTACTTAACCCATTAATGTCCATAGTGGAATTTTATAATTTCCTTTACAGCACTAACAGTAGTTAGGCACAAATCCAAAGAAATGTTTCAGCTCTGCAAAGTTTGAGGCTACAGCTCAGGTTTTTCTTAACATATTTTCATACTTGTGTCAGTCGTTAGCAGGGGTTGCTTTTTTGCTTTTCCAGGAAAACACCTTTTAGACAGCAGGTTAGGAATTTCAGATCTTCATAGTTTCTGATACATATACATATTCTGGAATGTTATATATAGAAAATATATTTCAAAAAGAAAAATCATAATCTGTTGCTCTTCTTGGTCCAGTATATCCATTGTGCAGACAGAGGCCTTTTATAATGTATTCTTATAGGATAAAATGACTTACTCCAAAAGACTAACGACTGACCACTGTATGATATAGAGATGACTGAATCTCAACAACTATAGGGAGCTATATTAAAAGCTTGCTACCATTTGATTCAGCAATTTCAGTGTCAATAATATGTACACTGACCCAGTGCAAAACTGATATTTAACATGTCAAATGAATGTTAAACTTATTTTTGTTTAGAAAAGTAAATCAACTTTCTCTACCAAAATTTAGATTTTGTCACGTGTAGCCACGTCTCGAGCAGATTTTGTGTTTCTGCCTCTTACATTAAAAATTATGATGATTAGTCATTAATGGATTGTCCTTTAAGTGAAAATCAAATCAAGCCAGCTGTGTATTGTGATGACGGGGTGATGCTCTCTCTGTGTCACAATCAGTTCTAGTACGCTTGACTTTTTCTTAAGTACAGCAAGTGTGAGCAATGGGACAAAGGACCCTCATGACCTGGATTTAAAGCTGGACTGACTTTTTTGATGTCACAGCGCCCCCCTGTGGACAAAACACATCTCATCCATCTGACTGGCCATCCTGGCTCTTGGATTATGCTTCATCACACCGATTCTTCAGTTTGCATAAAGCAGCAGGAATGCTTCAAAGACAGAGCAGGTATCTGACTAATTCAGATGTTTTGGTCCATTTGATTGTTTTCTACATGTTCTTTGTCATAACTTAATAATTGATGTGTATTTACAGTAACGGATGTTTTCAGTGCACAAAAGAGGATTAGAATGGCTTGCTGTGTTAAGAAAAGAGTCTAGTTTGTACTACAGTAAGATGTTTTTGTCGTCACAATCGACATAAGTTGCAACCACAATATCTGGTGACCGAGCAGTCAGAATTTTAGAAAAGTTACTGTCCTTGCTGTTTAACATGAAGCTTGATGGTAGGTTCTGGTGCAGCAACAGGAGAAAAGTGATCCGTCTTCTTTTCCACCGAACTGTGAGAGGTATGATCCGTTTTAATATATTCTCACAGTTAGTGAGTCTATTTCCATGTGTCGTTGACGAAGGTGGATTTCAGTTGCAGAGGCATTCCTGACTCTCTGTTCCTCACTGGTTACAGCTGTAACTTAGTTTGATCAGATGCTCATTGTCTTTGTGAAGGGCTTCTGAAGGCAGAGCGAGCCGTGGTGAGGAAGAGGATGGCTGTAGTAGTGTTCGATCAGAGCTGACAGAGTGGGGAAGCTCACTTCAATGTCCAGAAAAATGTGGTCCTCCTGTCAGAAACAGCCACAGTGACGGGAGATTTTAGTCACGTGTTGTAAATGTTACATTATCATTATGTCTCATTCTAAATTGTGAAAATATAAAAAAAGAGCAGCAGGTTTTTACCTCTTCAAACAGCCGGTAGTTTCTGGCTTTGCCTATGCTGACATCCCACACCACCAGCACCTGGACAACACAACAAAGTCATTCCAATTAGGACTGTCTTTTACATCAGTATCACATACTTCAGTTATTAAGATACCAGAACAAAGGATGATGGGTAATGCAGTCTAAAGTTATTTGAGATTTGTTTTCATTTAAAACCCCTATACTCTCTTATACTGTCTTATAGTCTCTTAAGGGTAAGCTTTTTATTTCTATAAAGACCTAAACGAGCTCAGTAGCCTGTTAATTTCATACTGAGTGAGCTAAGGGTAAAGTACTATTCAGTTTTAATATCCATTTTCTGAAGAAGATAAGCAAATCTTGAGTTTAACCATCCAGCATCTCACGTCATTTTAACACTAGCCATGCTAGCTGCTTTGTGAGACTGTACTTAGCCACAGTAGTACTTTGAGCTAAATGCTAACGTCAGTATAATATAATATCATTTATTTCCATTTGATAAAGAAAAGTGAAAGTGAGTGTAGCTGTACACCTGGTTTCACCCTGTACACTCATTCAGTACAGTCAGATTCAGTGTGGCCATTCCAGTTGGGGAAAATACAAAAAATTTAAATTGTAGGAATTAATTCCCATGCTGCTGCCCAGAGCAGACCACGACTGTGTTAAAAATATCGAAACAAATATCAATGTGGTCATCAAAAATGTTCTAAATGTGTTTTCATTATGTGTGAATTGTGGGAAATGCAATAAAAAACATTTTGGTGGAGGGCTCTCATTTGGACCTCCCAGTGTCTATAATGTCACTGACCACAGCAGCTTTATATTTTTACCTGTGAGGTTTTGGTTCCTGAGTTTCGGATGCCGTACAGTCCGTCCTGTGGAGGGATGGGGCTCTCTCTGAATAACCTGCAGATACAAACATCATCACTGGTTACAGCTCATCAACAGACAGACACACAAACACAAATATACTGGACTACTGCACCACTGCTGCAAACAAGAAAGACTGAACAAGAATACATGTAGCAGATGTGTTTTCCCATGTGTTAAATTTAGATTAAAACTAGGGTTAATAAAACACATAAGAGAAATTTCATCATAAATAAAGTAAATAACAATGTCAATGGCATGAAAGAAAGCAGAAAGAGAAAGCGGTTTTCTTGTTTGCCACTAGAGGGCAGAAACAGGCTGAATGAATATTCCAGTTTACAGCTCTGTGTTATAAAAAGTGTGTCATACTTTTCTACGAAGCTGGTTTCAGTCGTGTCAATGAACACAGAGTCCGGCAGCTGCACCTGCAGAGAGGAACACCTGGTTAAACACAATCTGAGACATTAAATACAGAAATAGCAACAAAAAGCCACAGAAATAAGTTTGTTGATGTTACTAAAAGATTTGCAGTTGTAGAAAATATAGATAAAATTAAGTTAAACAGTTAATCGCAGGCTTTGAAATGATTTCTGAACATCATTTCCCAAAATCAAACTCTTACCGATCCTTTTTGAGCCCACACAACTAGCAGTTTAAACTAAAGCACGACAGCAGGAATGGAGGTGCTGGCCTGTAAAGTAGGTGATTTGTTGATGTCTTTTTGTTTGTTATGTTTTACAAAATGTTCACACATTATTGTTCCAAGTTGACTATTGGTATATATGTCTTAATACATATCTGCAGGAGCTTGTTAATTCACGTTTCCTTTATAACCCTCAACCTTCCTTGTGGCTCATGTATATCCATTCTGTCCTATTTTCAGAGCAGCACTTCTGTTAGATACAAGCACCATGTGTCAGGGGAAGAAAACCTCACATTTGCTCCTGACAAACTGTCGCAATGTGAGTGACCTCTCTCATAATATTGCACTAATTGAATTCAGTTTCTCCAAGTGGAGCAACCTTGAAATCAGGACACCTGGTCTGAGATCAGTTGTGTGGTTTGTGAACCTTCATGTCAACAGCCTGAGACAAAATGATGTCCTGTTGCGTTGAGTTTTACAGCAACATCTATACACAGTACTCCAGAAGCCTGCTGTTAAGGTCAGTATTACATCACTCTCTTACATTCTCATAGTCCTCATCAGACTCGTCTCCCACTGTGTGTTTGCCCGAGTCTCGTTTCCTCCTGAAATCTGTGGGCGTCTCATCTCCCAACGAACGGAAGCTCTGGCCATCTGGAGATGCTCTTCTGAGGGGAAAACACGTTTAAGTTTGGTACCTTCAACCCGGTTACCTTTCTGTATTTTTGGTGCACTTTTTGAATGTTTTGTGTGTTTGAGTCCAACTTACTGAAGTGGGGTTCCTGGCTGTTTGGACTTGGCTGCAGGCAGCTGGGGCTTGACTGTTGGCAGAGGAGGTTTGGGTATCCCTGGCTTATTGTGTAGTCCAGTTTTAAGCAGAGGGGAGAGTGGAGGGGGGCCAGGCATTGATGTCTGGTTGAGGGACATCACAGGTCTGAGGTGGGTACCTCCAATGTTCGCAGAATGAGGAATCGGTAGGCTTGGCTTGCTGCGGAGGTTGCCCAACCCCCCGTGTTGGTTATTGCCCAGAGACTGACTCCCTCCAGTGTTAAGGGGGCAGTGGGCGGGACCATTTAGGACCATCCTGGTCTCCAATTGGTTGCAGATGGGCAGTGTGGCGGGGGATTGGATCGACACAGCCGGCAGATTCCTCCGCTCTCTCCCGTCGCTCCAGGGCCCCCCCATGGATGTCGTCCTGCTCTGAAGAGGTTTCTTTACGTTGGGAGGAGGAGGAGGCGGGGGGTTGGAGGAGAAGGACTTGTGCAGGTGGGGGGCGAAGGGGATCGGAGGAGGCGGGCCTTTGCTAAGGTCCTTTAGTATGGAGGGGGGAGGGACGGAGGGTGGGGGTTTTTTGGGGAGTGCACTGGTTGGGATCCTGTTTTGTGGCGGGACAGGAGGTGGTACACCTTTGTGGAAACCTGGACTGGAGTCCTGACGGAATGTCGCCGGCACTGGGGGAGGAGGGTAGGAAGGGGGTGGCCCCGTGGGTCGACCTGAAGATGTAAAAAAAAAAAAAAAAAAAAAAATGATGAAGATAAATAAGACCTTCCTTTGTTAAAGATTATTTTGTTAAATTTTGTTTTCCTACATGTTTATTGCACTTATTATTGCCCTACATGTAAAACTGTAAATACACCTTTGACCTCACTACTGTCAGTTTAGATGTCAGTGATGCAACAGTTGAAGTTCATTGTGCGGTCACCTTCATTGAAACGGACTGCATGCGAGTCGGCTGAAAAGGTGTGCGTGGCGTCACCTGTTGATGTTGGTGAGCATTCGCTGTCCGGCTTCACGTAGTCTTCCTCATCGTCATCATCATCATCCTCGACATAATCTACGCACAGGAAGGACAGGTACCACAGTTTAATAACACGCGAGTAGAACGTGTGTGTTGTGCCTATGTAATTATCAAGGTGGTCTTACCAACTTCTGTGTTGTCGATGGGGTGTTTGATATCCATGGGCCTCTCAATCGTGCCATAGAAGCTGTCAGCATCTGAATCTGAGTCACTATGGCGACAAAGAAAACGTTATCATGAATATATAAGATTGAAAAATCAAGTTCACGTGGATTTCATTGGCTCTAGGTTCACGACATTTATTGCAGGCTGTAGACCGATCTTTGCAAACTAGCCATCATTGCTATAAGCTAGTTTGCAAGCTAGCTGGTTATGAGCTTCCACCATTATGACTGTTGCCACCATGAACGGATTTATAAAAGAGGAAATTTGTATGATTTGTATTTGTATTCTTCACTATGTTATAAATTATGTAATTTATTATCCAAATTTACCAGCTAGCCAAAAGCTAACCACAGATCTTATGGGCTTCTTTAGCTCTGACATTAGCTAACATGGTTAACTCAACCACCTCACAGCCATACATGCTGGTTATATCCTACAAAAATTAAATTACAATAACTTGAATAAAATATCTAAGTTACGGTTCGGGAATGAAACCTGACTTTGTTTTCATATAAGTACAGCCATTTCCTGTGAGATCAGGCTCCCTGAGCAGCTAGGACTCGCTATAATGAGAAGCTATTAAATGAGCTGCTAATGTCCTCAGTCCCAATAACAGTATGTGTTCTGAATAAAAAAAAACACTCCAGGCTGGTAGATTACTAATCAAAAACAAGGAACCGTTTTAATTGCCTACATGAATTATATATCAGCCTGCAGAATTAGTTTCTGACTGGGGAAAACTTGAAGCGTCATTAGTCTGTTTGGAAAAAGTTGCACCAGGGGCTGTTGCAACCTGCAAAGATTCGTTTGCAAAGTTCTCTGCCAAATGTTAAAGGTGACAGAGGTCACATTGGTAAAGGAGCCCGGCTGGCTGTGAGAAAGGAGAAGTGTGTGGTGTGTACAATGGTAGAAAATGAAAATTTGGACCCACTGAGGAAAGTTCTTTTCAGTTAATCTGTGCTTTGGGTTAGGTTAGGTTAGGTTAGGTTAGGTTAGGTTTATAGGTCTGATGTTTCAACCTTTTATGAAATCAACTGTAACTCATTTATTAACACAAATCTTATGACACTTCCAATCTACATTGTGTTGTGAAATATGACGTAATTTGCTGAAGTTACCTTGGAATGAACTCTTTTCTGTCGTTATAGTGATCTATCTCCCTCCGCAGGTATCGCATCCATTTCTGTAAAAGCAAAAATAATATGTAGTAAAGTGTGTGTTTGTGTGAGCATGTGCAATTCAAGTGTTATTCCAATTATTTCCTTTTGTTATTTCATAATTTGGGGGGCTTTCATGCAAACTACATTAATAATGAAAAGGAGGCATAAAATGTTCAACTGTGTTAAAATGACAACTTCCTTATCTGGTCAGCCAAAACTATGCACGCACACACACTCACACACACGCTCACACTGTACACGTAGTTATAGTACATGTGTTGTTCTCACCCTCCTCTCGTCCTCGCTGGCTGCAGAGAAAAACCATGTCCTGTGTTTCTTACTGAAGTGGACGATCTTGAAGGGAAACACATTACTCGACGTTGTCTCCTCTGCTGCTCTCATCACTCTGTGGAAGAGGAGGAATGTGTTGGGAAATATTTCTATCCATGAAGTGAAATATGCAGATTTCCACTCTGTTTATGAGCCTGTACTCATTCTTATAGTGATACTAAGACAAGAATGCCAAAATACCCTAATGAACTAGCTCTGCTGGTGACTTCCTGTCCTGTAGAGCTAGTGTCACATGTGACTGACATAAATTCAACCAATCCCTGTGAATTCTAGGCAACCTTGCAATTTTGTCTTCCTACTACAACTTTTACACAAATTAGACCAACCATTGGATTTTCCCGTGAGTTTGACCAATCAAAACGTTAAGCCACACGTCAGCAAACTACTGACCTGTTGTAGCCATTGAGAGAGAACGCCCCCTGTGGTGCAGGAGAGGTACTGCTCTTGAAGTAGTAAACGCAGCCCTTGTGGAGGATGGTGTACCTCAGAGGCCCTGTAAGTGAGAGAACAGATATTAACAATGTTTGCATCCAACCGCCTGTGTATTAAAACTGAATATGGACACAAATACAACTGAGAGCAAAACACTTTTGAAAAAGCTGAAAAGATTTTTACACTTGACTGAGGTCTGCTGGATCAAAACAGAGAATATCATTGGAGATTAAAATACATTGTCGCACATTCTGCCTATTCTGTCCACCCACTCTTAATATTTCTAATATGAACTCACATTTCATGAGGCTGAACTGACTGCCTCCTTTCTTATGAAGGTATCCCGCAGTGGAAACTCCTCCTGGCATGGTGAGGAGGTTCTGAGCCCCAATGGCTCGCATCGGCACTGGCCAGCACACCTCTGGAGACGACATGGTTCTGCAAAGACAGGAGAGAAGAGATGGAGAAATTTGTCTGGTTGTACCTTAAGGATAAAATAAGAAAAAAAGAGATATTCATTTCCAGAAAGGATCAATACATACTCATTGACAGACAACAGTGGGATAGCTTTTATTCCAGTAAGGGCAGTAGTCCATGAGAAAGAAGAAAAAAGCTTAGAATATACTTTATCTTACAATGTCTTTTTTAAAATGTATCTGCAAAAAAAAAAATAAATCAGCTTGTTCCTCATTTCCCCATTACCATTTCAGAATCAGAATCAGATTTGTTGCCAGGTAGGTTTTTACACATACGAGGAATTTGTCTTGGTGCAAAGGTGCTTAAAATATACAATCACACAAACATATACGAATCACACAAGAATAAAGTACTTTTAAAAATATAAATAAATAAAGATAAGAAAGATAAGACAAGATAAGAAGACTGTACAGAAGAAGGGAGTGCATTAATGTAATGCATATATATAGGGTGGGTATAAGAGTCAGTGACAGTGACTTGTTAATGAGGCCAGCTGCAGATGGAAAGAAAGCCACACTGACTCCAAAAAAACAGAAGAGAAAAAGAAATTCTGCTCCAAAATTACGGTATTTCTGTCCATTCAGGAGGAATTCCAAAGTTAGCTGTCAATCCAAAGTCCTAGATCTGAGATCACACTGTGAGACATCCACCGACAGCCGCTGCTATAAACAGTTCATATTTGGGCAAACTCTTCAGAAATGCCCATATACGATTCAGGTGAGAGCTGCTCAGGTGTTGCCTACCTCCTGCTGAGCCTCCTGTTGATGCTCTGAACAGCAGTGCTCTCCCTCAGCCGGCTGACTGTTGAGGCGAACACTGTGGATGCCAACGTTGGCAATAGGTCCATGACAGTAATGTCGAACAGACGGCCGACTGGACTCAAACTTGCTCCTTTCTTTCTGTCCTCAACGGGCTCACTGTTGCGCCTCATCAGCTCCACACTGAGAGGGATTTGTCTGTCTGGTTTTCTGCCTCCTCTGATCACGCTCTCTTTGCATTTCACTCTCTGAAGCTCTCTCAGTCTCTGCTGATCTCTCTTTCTATCTCTCTCTCCCCCCCCCCTTTTCCACATAAGCACACTCAAACTGAGATAGTGCACTTACGCAAACACTCATACACATTTCTGCATGAGCACACACACATTCAGTTTAGACAGGAAACACATTACTGTCTTAAGTCATTTTGCTGGGGTTCAATGCTTCATGTAATAGGTGTTTTATGTGTGTGTGTGTGTGTGTGTGTGTAGGGGGGGAGCAGTGCTCAAAATAAACATCCCAATCAAAGTTCTTCTTAATCTAATGTGTTTATGTGTAACTTCCAGTCTATCAACAGCATCTACTGACCTCAGAGGGAGAAGGAGGGAGGGGGTGTGTGTGTGTGTGTGAAGCCCAGGAATGAAAAACTCCACGGGGCCAAAATCCACTCCCTTTCTCTGAGATAAAAACCTGCAGGAATCGCTGTTTGTGTGTGCACTAAAACAAATCCGCCATCTCCACGTGTTTTAACTGTGAAGTGACCTTGACACGCAGGTGGCTGCGTGCCTGTTGTTGTGACAGGAGCGCGATATGATGAACGAATGGGGATAACAGCGAACACTTCTGCACAGTCCGTCCTCAAAGGCATTCATTGTCGGCTGCACAGGCAGAAAGGGGTGCAAGCAGCTGTGTGAAGAATTAAAAGAGAGAGCTTGAGAGAGTAGTTCTTCTGATGGTTGCTACGGAAAGCTACAAAGGCTGTCAGACGCAGCCCCCCTGATTCCACTGTCGGAAAAAGCGGTTTTCAGATGCTATGACAAGTTCAGGACATTCAGAGCTTTTGATCTGAAGCCTCGTGTGAAAGAGCATGGCTGAGTTAGCGCACTAGAATTCATGAATTCTGACCGATAGCAAACAGTTTTGACAGTGCTCACTTGACTAGCCTGTCAGCTATAGTAGTTTGCCAACCAGCCCCACCGGTGTAACACACTTTATACTAAATTGCTGCAGATGATGGGGTGGCAGTAGCTCAGTGTGTAGGGACTTGGCTTGGGAACCAGAGGGTTCAAGTCCCTGCCGTGGTGCCCCTGAGCAAGGCAACCTAACCCCAAAACCTGCTCATGGGGTGCTGTGAATGTTGCAGCCCCATCACTCCACCATCTCTCTCCCCTTTGCATGTCCACAAGTGCATGGAGTGTGCATTTCAGCCTGTGTGTGTGTGTGTGTGTGTGTGTGTGTAAAAATAGAGTGAAAAGAACAATTTCCCCAAGGGGATCAATACAGTATATCTTCTTCTTCTTCTTTCTTGATTGGGCAAAAGATTTGAAACCATTAGTTTTTCATGGTAAAAAAGAAAGAGGGAGAAAGTTTTTGAAACATGGGAGTCTGAATAGAGAACAGAAAGCTGATAAAAATGGGAGAAAAACCTGCTCAAAACACAATAAATCACCAGGGTGGAGCTGCTGTTGGTTTCTGACCTCTGAGTGCCCTGTTGTGTGTATCTGTGTGTCTGTGTCTGTGAGGACTTCAATAATCCCTACAAAGGCTATCGTGGTTTGTTTATTATCTAATGTAATCTTTACTGATAACCAGCAGTGACGACAAACACACACACACACACACACACACACACACACACACACACACACACAGATAAACCGCGACAATCGTGCAGTTAACTAAACCTCAGCTCAGTCTGAGTGAGGTCAAAGTTCACCAGCTGCTTATCATCGATGCGAGGATTTCCTGAAGTCCTCGTTCAGCTGCAGCAGAGACGCAACACGATGGCGCTCTCACTGTGTGCGCTCAGCATTGTCATGTTTTCTACAGGAAGAGGCGTAAGAGTTGAGCTTTCACCATTATCACATCCATGACATTTCAACTGCTGTCACTGCTTACATAGCATCTGACACTACAACCACTTTCATCTTTTGCTCTTCAAATGACAGTTCAACTGCTTTCAGTGCTTGCATACAAACAGACAGTTTAAGGGCCCACAGGGCATATTCTTTAAATTCAAATTCCAGATAACATTTCAACAGATTTCTACTGCTTTTATACTTCAAACCCTTTCAGTGCTTCAACATCAACTGACACTTCAACTGCTTTCAATGTTCAGTGTGTAACATTTAGGAGGATCTATGGGCAGGTATGTTTTCATTAGCGTCACCCACGATAAACTGGTAAGATAATAATCTACAGACCCCGTGAGTTCTCTTCCATGGAGTCCGCCATGTTGAACCGCCATGTTTCTACAGTAGCCCAGAACAGACAAACACTGGCTGTAGATGGGGCCTGTGTTTTACTGCCACCGTAGTTTCTCCTACACATTGACAGTCTGTTCTCACTCCCAGGTTGTCAAATACAGACGAGACCGGTGTTCTTTTAGATACTATAAGATAGATATCACTAAATTCTATTCACTGGTCCCTAAATGCTTCAACAATTATGGTTTTGTCTTTTAAATTAAAAGGAAATGTTATATTACAAGATAAGGAAGTATCACTTAACTTAATATTGTGAAGAAAAAGCCATAATACGTTTTGTGTAATATGAAATATTTTAAAACTGCAACTCTGTACATTTTCACAGAATCTCTCCTTCTTTTTGCCCTTAATACTGTCATAGTTTTTTTTTTTTTTTTTTTTTTCAAATTTCACAATGAAATTAAAAAGAGTATTTTTTTGCCAGAATTTTGTTGAATCAACTCTTCTGTCTTCTATCCAGTAAAATAAACAGACCTAACAAATACTTGAACAAACAACAGAAGAGGCAACAGAATCTTGTGTCAGAGGAGGTCACCCCCTCCAATAAGAGGAAATGATGAATGAAACAGTGAGTTACTGTACACTGTCAGCAGGGTTGCAGGATTACTGATTACTGAAGATTACCCAAAGAGTTTCCTCTGGAATGTGAAGCCAACCGCTTACACAGGAAGTTGCCAGCTAAAACATATACTTTCCACTGGGCACATTTACACTGCACAGTCACATAACCTTACATCACCATTTGTATGACAAGAAATCTCATCAGTACCGCCGTCATCAAACCGGCCTCTCTCTAGGAGGTTGTGTTCAGTGACAGGCTGCTGAGCCCTGTTCACTAAAGGTAGCTACATTAGCAGTTAGCTACGTTGAGGCAGAGCACCTGGAAGATGTCAAAGGGAAAATCCGAGAATATTCTCTCCATAAAATATGATCCACTCATACCCAAATCACTGATAAAGTTGTGTTTTTGCACAAGTAATACCGCTGTGTTTTTGTACCGTTATCAGTGAGGTCCGGGCCCCAGAAGCACTCCTCTCTTGTAGCTACTGCTAGCCAGCTTACTAATGAATCTTTACAAAGTTTATAATTGATGGACAGGTGAATGTCATGATATTTTTTTGTTTTTTTTTATTTTGTTTTACTGGAAGAAAAAAATGATTGGATTTCGATATAAAAATACAGAGAAATTAAGTTTTTGTAAATGTTTTGGCATAGACTGTTAAATAAGGGTACAGTATGACTGGGGATGTAATCTTAAATGGTTAAAAAGGCATGTTTCATGTTTCATCTGGACTTAATAAATAGAAAATAAAAGTTTGTTGAGACTTTGAACCCTCTCACCCAACTGCTGTTATTTTAAGATCTCCATCCTGAACTCTGCTGACGTTTGTGTGCCAGAGATGCTAATCAGAGGGGAGCTGATTGTCAGGAAGGGAAGCACAGGAGCTGCTCACATACCACACTCATTCAAACATATTTCCTCCCTAGACACACACAACAGAAAAGAATGTCTGGGTTCCACAGTGATTTAAGCACTTTTCAAGTTCAGATTGTAGCTCTGTGTTTTCAGGCCTTTTCATCGATGCCATTTTATGGAAAAGTGAGCTTAATGCCTCATGTAAAACAGACTGTAATAAATAATTTAAATTGTTTATTACAAGCTTACTACTACTACTACTACTAGTTCAAATTATTATCAAAACTAGTAAATAACAAATGATCTCATTAATTACAGTTGCATGCATTATTAATAAAATATTAAATATATAATTTTTTTAAATCTAATTCTGTCTGAGCTCAACCTATGGCAGTAGTGGAAGAGAGAGAGAGAATCAAAGCCCTAATCTGCGGCAGATAACACATGCATAGAACACTTGTTTGGCTAAATTCACTGTCTCCTCCCTTACTGCAAGAGGGGGATTTAAAGGACGCCAATTACCGTAAACCTTCAAATAGATGACAGATAGCTTGTTAGTGATGACAGACAGAACATTATGTTCTGGGCTTTTTAAAAACCAAAATATGCTGTGATCATCTGAACCAAAGGAAGCCAGTGCAGGACTTTTGAGAAGACAACAAGGAAGCTGCTAGATTACAAAAATCCTAACACGTGCCCATCCCTAAAAGCTGAAAGGCTACGGAACCTGTAAGATCCTGCAGAGGACATAAAAACATCAGCTTTACCACCCAAGGTGTTGTATGAGTTTTTTTTTTATTCCAGACTGCTGTTATGTAATGAAAAAAATATCTTTTGAGGATGTGTCTCAGACAGACAAGGAGGGCTGGACTACAGTAGACTGACCAGAGTCTCTGAAATAGAAACTACCGTAACGATGCGATGGAAAACCCCTGATGATCACAGGACAGTATTCCTGTTAAATTTGCTAATGACAGCACAACAGTGATACAACATTAAGATACAGTGCAGTGATAAGAAACTGGGCGTATACTGGATGGGGAGGACACTGGATGTGATATAGTTCTAGTTTTTCAGTATGTGAGTCACAGACATCAGCAAATTCCTGGTATCGTCCCTGCTGTTGGTGTGTCAGGCCTGGACTGTAGCCAGTTTCACTTCATGCTGGTTTTAGGAGGGATTTTACCTTTAGCCTGATTTGCCATAGTATTGAAAATACAGCAAGAAAATCCACTTACTTTCCCCTAAAAATATGTAGTGTAGGAAGCCCTGAATAGTCTGCAGATTCTCCTTCACAAACACCATTAATCTAAGGGTTAGGGCAACCTGTACAAAGCCCAGGGCAAAAAAGTCCTTAAAACAATCACTGCTCACAAAGCTGATCACTGTGAGAGCAACAACTGCATGCAACTGCATTTTTTCAGAAACTCAGGGAGAGATTGTAGTTATAAAAGTGATGGGGATAGCGTCATGATGGACAATAAAATGTGAATACTGAAGAACACAAGTGCATTTCTTGCTAAGTCAGACATGTCATGTGGTTTTTGGTGAGGCAGCTGATTTTCTTGGTAGGCATGAGGTCATGGGTTATGGGATATCTGAAATAGCCAATAACCATGAGCAAAATCCCCAATCAGTAGACCCATCTCCATGACAAAAGAGAAAACTCCATCCATCAAACTGTGTGATCTATAAATGGTAAATGGCTACATTTATATAGCGCTTATTTCCATAGCGTTTTCCAAGGTTTTTGCTAAAAGCAAAAAGTTTGGATCGCACTGATCAAAAAAGTGTGCATCAGATACAGGAGAGGCCCAATTGCTTTATTATTAAGAAATATGACCAATAATGATCTAATCTGTATCATACTGAATACTATCATTCTTTTGCATTGCATTATGTTGAATCAAACCATGTTGAAT